TTTGCAGGGCTGGCTTCCATAGTTTTCCCCTCATTTTGCTGGCTAAATGCGCACACACCCATAGTCCCCTGCACCTTCCTGCTTGGAATTCTTGATTCCCATTTACCCACTGTACCCAGGTACGCTTTTCCAGTTCCCTGGCCTACAGACAGCAACCCTCTGCAGCAATGGCCTTTTCCTAAAGGCTGGAATGACTAGAAATAACCGGGCAGGAACATGTGGGACGTGTGCCCAACCAGCACGAGGGCAAGCAGTGGCATCTTGTCGGATCTCTGGGATTGATCCCAGGAAATTCCTGGAGGTTGAGAGACCTGAAAATTCCAGGTCAGCCCTGAAGTATTGGCAAGTTGTAGCCACACCTTTTGCTATTCATGTTCATAATGCTTTCATAACCAATTAACTTTACCTGACCCAACTCTTATCTCCTTGAAAATAAGCTGTTGAAATGTCAGGAATGTGAAAAATGGAGGGGGGTGGAATGAAACAGAGAGAGAAAAACAGGACTGGGGGAACTAATTTTTTTCTTGCCTGTCACTGTTCTTCTGCTGCGTGTCCCATCTATTGTTACACTTGCAAGTTGTAAGTATATTTGTGTGTGTGCGCACACAATGTCCAGGCCTTAATCAGCAGGTAGGATGAAATCACAGTATCTTCAGTCATAGAAATAATGATATCTTGTCAATTAGTGAGGCTCTAGTCATGAGGTTTGGTCAGTTGCTAGGAAAGTATCCATACCCTCTCTATATAAGCACGGCAAGGAACCTTGCAGGTCAATATAGGTGCATCACTCAAGGGGCAACAATAATTACAGGTAAGAAACTGAATTTCTCTTAAAATCTTTTCTTTTGATTTTCTTTTCTTTATCTGTGTGAGGACAGCTAATAGTTTAACTAGATTGAGAAAGAATAATGAAAGTTTTCTAGGTAAATTCAGAGTTTCTAATCTCAGCGTCAGCTGACAGGTAAAGCAGCAAACCTCTGAAATTATGCAAACTGAAAAAAGAGGGGGCACCAGTACTTTGGGGGCTGCTTCACAGGTTACATTTCAGTGTGTAGATTTATAAGATAAAGTCATAGATTTATAATTGCCTCCATCTGAGCAATGAAAGCAAGCCCTTGCCTGAGCCGACAGAAGGGCTAACTGAACAAGAAAGATGAGAAATTTCAAGTGACTATTTATTTATTTAAAACTTTTCTAGACTGTCCCCTACTGAAGTCTCGGGACAGTTTAACAATACAAAATATGAAATAAAACACAGCATCCTAAAAATTCAACTATCAATAAAACCCCAATTAAAACAATCAGATCTTAAAACACTGGGAAAATAAAAAGTTTTCGCCTGGCGCAGAAAAGAATAAAGTGACAGCGCCAGGTGAACCTCTTTGGGGAGCAAATTCCACCATTGGGGCACCACTGCAGAGAAGGCCCTTCTCCAGGTAGTCACCCTCCTAATCTCCTTCAGGGAGGGCACCCAGAGAAGGGCGTCTGCCCCAGATCTTAAAGGGCGGACAGGCACATATGGAAGGAGACACTCCATCAGGTAACCAGGCCCTAAGCTGTTTAAGGCTTTATCACCAGCACTTTAAACTGGGCCCGGGATTCAACTGGTAGCCAGTGTAGGTGGAAAAGGACCGGTGTTATATGTTCATACCTGCGGGTCCCTGTTAACAACCTGGAGGCTCTATTTTGGACCAGTTGAAGCTTCTGGACTGTGTTCAAGGGCAGCCCCACATAGAGCATGTTATGGTAGTCCAATCAGGAAGCTACCAGGGCATGGGTCACTGCTGCCAGGCACTGCCCATCCAGATAGGGTTGTAGTTGATAGATCAGCTGAAACTGAAGGAAAGCGTTCCTCATCACAGCCGCCACCTGGGATTCCAGGCACAGCTCTGGGTCGAGGAGTACTCCCAAACTGCACACCCTGTCCTTTGTGGGAAGTGCAACCCTGTCCAGAACAGGGTTGGAAACACCCACCCAGGAGGCTAAACTGCCTACCAGCAGGACCTCCATCTTGTCTGCATTAAGCTTCAATTTTTTGGCCTTCATCCAGCCCATCACCCCAGCCAGTCACTGGTTCAGAACCTCCACTGCCTCACCTGGATTTGATGTAAAAGAGAAGTAGAGCTGGGTGTCATCAGCATACTGATTACTCTGCAGCCCAAACCATTGGATGAGCTCTCCCAGAGGTTTCATGTAGATGTTAAATAGCATGGGGGATAAAATGGAACCATGGCAAAGCTGCCATGGCACAGGAGCACAATCCCCCAGCACCACCTTCTGGAATCAGTCAGCCAAGTAAGCGTGTAACCACCACAGAGCAGTGCCTCTAACCCCCAACTTAGCCAGCCTGGTATCGAAAGCTGCTGAGAGGTCCAGAAGAACCAACAGGGACGCATTCCCCCTGTCCCTTTCCCTGCACAGGTCGTCATACAGGGCAACCAAGGCAGTTTCCATCCCATAACCAGGCCTAAAGACAGACTGAAATAAGTTCAGTCAGTTTCATCCAAGAGAGCTTGGAGTTGCCTGGCCACCACCCGCTCAAGCACCTTGCCCAAGGACAGGATGTTAGCCACTGGTCTATAATTGGAGGCCAACTCTGAGTCCAGGTTCGCCTTCTTCAGGATGGGCCTGATCACCACCTCCTTCAAGGGGGAGGGAACCTGACCCTCCCTCAGGGAGGCATTAACTACCTCCTGGACCCAGGTATACATTCCATCCTTGGCTTTGGTGAGCAGCCAAGAAAGGCAACGTTCGAGTAAACAAATGATAGGCTGGACAAGTCCAAGCACCTTGTCCACATCCTCAGGCCGCAACAATTGAAACTCATCCAACAAAGATGGACCGGACAGCGCTCTGGACAGGTACTACTTCAACTATAGAGTCCAGCTCGTGATGAATCTGAGCAATTTTATCCCTAAAGTGCTGGGCAAAGTCATCACAGTGAGGCACCAATGGTGCGATGAAGTAATTTTTTGGTCTAGAATGTAACAGACCCCACACCACCCAGAAAGGCTCAGCTGAATAGCACTGTGAGGATGCAATGGAAAGGGAGAAGAATTCCTTCTTTGCCGCCTTCACCGCCACAGCATAGACCCAATAATGGGCTCTCAGTTGTGTTCAGTCCAATTCAGTACGGGATTTCCTCCACCTGCTCTCTAGTTATCTCCCAGCCTGCTTCATTGCCTGCAACTCAGGCTTATACCAAGGCGCCGCATGGGCTCCGCTTGGTGGGAGAGGATGCTTTGGAGCGATTTATCAGTCACCCAGGTCAGTTCTCCATTCCACAGATCAGCCAAGGTGTCAACAGGAGTGCCAGTTTTATCAGCCGGAAATTCTCCAGAGCCCTCAGGAATCGATCTGGATCCATTAGACTCTGGGGGCAGACCATTTTAATAGCATCTGCACCCTTTTGGAGGGGAAAGACTACCATAAGCTTAAACCTCACGAGGAGATGATCTGCCCATGACAAAGGGATTAACATCAAATCCCTCAATTCCAAATCACCATCTTCTTGCCCCGTTGAAAAAACCATGTCCAGAGTGTGGCCTCTTTCATGTGTTGGGTCGGTGACATGTTGAGACAGCATGGAAGTTGAAATCCCCCAGGACAAACACCTTGGGGGTTCTCACAACTGGGCTTGAGACCACCTCCATCAGCTGAGGCAGAGAGGTAAAGTGCAGCAGGGTGGTCGGTACATTACCAGAATCCCTGTCTCAAGACACACAGTACAAACACTTGAAACACTCTCCTGTTGGGACAGGGAGCCTGGTAAGCGAGATCGCATTTTTAAAGACTATCGCCAGCCCCCTCCATGTCCCTCCAGACGGTGTTGCCGCTGCAGTGAGTAACCGGGGTGGGGGGGGGGGGGCCGAGCTGAGTGAGAGGAACTCCACCTTCCACTCCCACCAGGTCTCAGTAATGCATACCGGGTCAGCCCTGTCATCCACAATTAAACATAGAGGAGGGAAGCTTTATTACAGACTGGCCTGGTATTAAGCAGCAGCACTGACTATCAGAGGGAAGGCTGGAGGGAGAGCTAGAAGAGGGGCCAGGTACTTCTATGCCAGCAAGCTCTGCCCCCAGCGCTATAAGGCCCCTGCCCAGCGCTACCATAATGGCTGCTCCCCCAGCCCTCCCCCCTCCCCCAGTCCATGCCAAAGACCAAAGAGTAACCCTAAACACGTGCAGGGCCTCCTGCCACACAGCACCACCCAGGCGCCAAACGGGCAATGCCCTTTGGGTCGCCTTTAGCATTGCACAAGCGTGCCGCCCGAGGGGGCACCCTGTGAGCTGGCCGGAGAGAAAGGCCCCACCCTGGAAGGCCGCCCAGTGGGCTGGAGGGCCGACGCAGAAGCCCCCCGCTCTTCACTGCCGTCTCCCACTCGGCAGCTGCAGGTGAGGAGGGCAGCCGGGTGTGGGGGGTGCGGAATATGGCCCCTCAGCCCCGCGGCAGGTGCTGTGCCAGCGAGCAGCCAGCAGCAGGCAGGCAGCAGCGAGGCCGCCCTGTGAGCCGGCCGGAGAAAGAGGCCCCACGCTGGGAGGCCCCGCCCCGGGCGGCCGGGTGGCAGGGCTGGATTATGAAAGCCCTTCCAAAACAGCAATGCTTTCTAGCATATGTAACTCTGAAATTTAAGGACAAAACTACACTTGACACAGGAGAGACAGACACTGACCCCCAAAGGCCTTTTTTGGCCTGAAAAATCTATTGGGGTAACTCGGCTCCCCATTATCCCTGGCTGCTTGAAGATCTTTGCACCCTCAGCAGAAAAGAAGCACAGGCCTGGGCCACCTTGAACTTCCATTGGCCTGAAACCACTTTGCCAAACTGTAAATCACCTTGGGAACCTTGGCGGAAAGGCTGTATATAAAAATAATAAAATTGCATAACTTTATAAGCTTCCCCACTCTCCCCTTGAGATCTTGCCTTGCTCCACTGTACTATTGTCTGACCTCTTTCTTTTTTTTTATAATACAGGCCGCAAAGAATATAATTGGCCAGCATGGACTTCATTTTACTCAAGATATTTCTGATGCATACAAGCATCTTCATAGGTGTCTTACTGATTCTGTGTGCCTCCATCTATATGCTGTGGCCTTCAGTGTTCCTTACAATCTTTAGATGGTAAGTTGCCTGAAAAGGCTGCAAGGCACCAGTGCCTGCTGTGAATCATGACAAATATGGAGGCCCACCTAGGTGAGTGGCCATCATCCAGAGGAGGCAGACAGGTATCCAAGGGACCAGAGACAGAAAACACGACCTGAGGACCAAGTGTCATGTTACATTTATTGTGCTGCCAGCAGCTGAGCCTGGTTTCTTCTCCTCTCCATTAATGGACACATTATTCCTATTCCATTGCATGTGTGTCCCACTTTGTTGCCTCTTGCAAGTAATGCACAGGGGCTTACAGGGTCCTTCTCCTCTCGGTTTTATCCTCATGACAGACCTAAGGGACAGTGACAGACCCAAGTCAGCCAGTGAACTTCATGAGCAGGTGAGGACTAGAACCTGGATCTCTGGAGTCCCGGGCCACTCACTATAATCACTACACCATACGTGGTCCCAATTCAGACTGGAATGCCCATGCATTCTCCCTCTGTTTCTCTCCCCAACTTTCTGCTCAGTCAGGATTTAAAAATTAATCCCTGTGCAAGGGATGGGTCCACATAGGTGTGGTAAAGGAGATTTGGAGGGGTGGGGGACTCGTAAGCCCTTATCTTAATTGGGCCCATGTGCGTGTACTCTGGGGTAAGGGGAAGGGATCAATTCACAGAAAGCATAGATGGTAGCCAGGGTACATAGCATGCAAGATGGAGTTCATTTAGCATCTTCTAAACCAGACTTAGGAGGAGAACCAGCTACTACCTCTCTCCTGGAATTGTTGGTATAGCAAAACAAAAGGGCCCTGCCCCTTGCACCCCCTGGGGACAGAGAAACCATTTTGAGACTATGAACAAGCTCTTCTCCTCAACAGCCCAGTTTCCCCAGTTCAAAAGGCTTTCTCCCGTAGCCTCTCTAATCTTAGCAGTAGTTGCCACGAAGCACTCCTTCCTTCCTCTTCACTCTCTTCTTTCCTGATGTGCATTTCTTTTAGGTATTTATTTCAACATTCCTGACAAAAAACTCTCCCTAAGGCAGCTTAGAAGATAACCAAACTGGTATACCCTACGATATTTTAACCCATACCATAGAAAAAATGTAAAATGTGAAACACTCATGAAATAAATACCTTAAATTTAAAACACTGACATAGGGAAGCATCCCACATCTTCCCAGCAAACATAACATGCAGTTCACCTGCCAAAGAACTGAGACCTTTTCTGTACTTCAAACCCAGGGTCTGCACAGACTGCAGAAGCAACCCTTGCATCCTGCTCCTTCGCTACACAAGAACATTTTTTTTACCATGAAAAAAGTCATGTATTAAATTTTAGATCAATGCAAACCAAAATGAAACCCTCATGAAAAGTCACAAACCCCCAATACTATAGCTATTCCAGAGCACTTATGCCTGGTTAGTATAATATATGGAAACACAATAATATACAAACCCTGGGAGAAAACCCAGTGTGAAGGATGCATTTTCCTTCTGCAATGAAAATGGAAGAGGAAGCTGCAATAAAGCAGTGGGTTTGAACTCTTTATGTAAAGAAAACCTAGACTCATCAAGAGAGACCTCATAATCATTATCTCAACTAGATGATGGAAACTTTTATTTTAATGTTTATGTTTCCTCTACCTTTTTACTGAGTTTGTACAATCAGGAAAGGAAAATAAAACAGTGGTTGGTTTAACAAACCAGCCATACCTGGTGTGGATAATTATGGAAATGAGGCATTGTGGGACAGAAAGGTGGCTTCTTTTCCTTCCCCATCATGCAAATCCAGCCAAGACTCTGGTTTAACAGCTCTTGGCTGCTATGGGGGGATGAAGTAATCACACCTGTACAAACAGGGGAGCTGGTAGTAATTCTATGCTGTACTAAACTGGTATCTAACAGATGCAACTCTCAGCACATAAGGACATCACCTAACACCAAATCTCTCCATTAAACTTCCACCAAGCGCCATTAAATTCAAACAGCACATTCCTTAGTCTCTCCCAGACCTAGTGGATGGCCCCAGGAGACTAGCTCTGTAAGATCAGTATGTCCTGCTGCCCCCCCCCCCCCCCAAAATCACTAGTTTCTCTCTAGGTTAACTGGCTGCAGTTTCCCTTCCCGCCACTCTCTGGGAAAGCACTGTGGAGAACGGCAGTCAATCCCACCTCAAGCGTCCTTTTGGGAGGTGCCAAGATGGAGTCTGCCTCTGGCTTTCTTAGTGTGAGCCTGCACTCAGCACCTGAGGGCTTCTTGTCAGCGGGCTCAGTGCATGCTCAGAGAAAGCCAGATCTTAAAGTCATTAGCAGGTACTTCCACAACACTTTCGTAGGGATGCTTCATCAGAAGAAAGTTCCCCTCCAAGTTCATTTGATTCACTTCTCTAATAAATCTTTTTCCCAACCTGGCACCCACCAGATGTGGACACAATGGGTGGGGGTTATGGGAGCTGGAGTCCAGCATATCTGAAAGGCACCAAGTTTGGGAAGCATAGTTAAGATCATGACTACCTGTCCATCACAAATGTGCAAGGTGGACCTTTCAGACTGATTCCCTCACTTCTTGCTTTAGATAGACAGCAGAGTTAGTTTTATGAATGAGCTTTTATAGAATTCTATTCTTACTCTTAGGTACCTCTGAGTTCTTTGCTTTATTGATTTTCTGTTATTTTACTATTATAATTATTTATTATTGTTCCTGTTGTAAGCTGTGTTTAAACATTTATATGAAGTAGGAATGTTTTGGCTTACATGTTCCCTAATTGTGGCATAAAGGCACTTTAAGAGCTTTCTTCCCAAAGGTGCTAATCTCATGTATCTACTTTTGATTTCATTGCAAAATAGAGATCCAAGTACTAGACCTAGAGGGCTTTATTTCCTGCTTTTCTAGTGTATAACCTTTAGGTGGCTCTGTGGTATAGCATAATGGTGCAAATACACAAGGGAAAAAGTGGTTTATTTCACTTCTATCGCCTGGAGTAGTGTTGTCCATGGGGTCGCGACAGGTCGGACACGACTTCGCGACTAACAACAACAACAATTAAATGCCACAGCTTCCCTCCTCTTAAAAATGCTTATTGAAAGTGCTTATTAAACAGAAAAGTGAACCTGGAGGGTTACAACATTGTCTAAAGAACCCGTAAGCAGCCATGACTAAAGAAAAATAAATGTGCAACGAATTCTTCATGTAAAAAAGCCCTAAGGTGATTTCTGGTGCTTTGCAAAGTTCAGTCCTGCTCCCATCATTGCAGGAAGGCTGTGAGTTGTGCTCCGCATGAGACAGGAATTGCTTTACCACTGCTCAAGTGCTCCCACTGGAATGACTGTGGAAAATTGGGGTACATTTTATGAAACATGGAATATTTCGCCAAAAAGTCCCCATTCCCCCCATCCTGGAGGTCCTAGAATGAGCAAGTGTAAAGGGAGAGTTTGAAATTGATTGTTGGGGCAGGATTATAATCCAGTAAGTCAGTCAACAAAGTGAAGTTAAGGTAACTGTGGTGGTGAGGTAAGCGGAGAACCAGCTTAGCCTGCCTGGGCCAGACCAGTGATGGCACGTGAGCTCTTCTGGCAGCTCTTTGGGGCAACATGTGCAGTTTTCTGCAATACAAAAACATGCTCCAGCCTCACACAATGACCCATCCCTGGATCAGTTCAAATCCATACTTCAGGATACAGCTGAAAGGAGGAATTCTGGGCTTGTGGACTTGTCTGTAGAAAGCTTTTCTCAGAGCTACACCTCTTTTCTTCCCTTGTTCCTTTTGGAAGGAATTTCCGTCTAGCATTGCATGGCAATTGGCTATGTTGAAGAGGCTCCCTATGTTGAAGAGGCTTCTGAACTGAAGCATGAATGTAAATTTCATTTCATTTCCTTATGCATTTGTGTTATTTGCACCTCATTTGCTTTGTGAGGGCAAACACATCTGCAGGTTGCCAGGCTGGGAAGGTCAGAGGAATGAATGAATATATGACATCTTTGCAGTTCTGGAAATTATCTTACTAGTAACACGGACCTCCTAAGGAGTTGGTTCACACGTGGTACAGTCATTTCTAAGAGCTGCAGAAGCAAAAAAAAAAAAAAAAACCCAAGAAATACCTGCATGATTATCTCTTGTCTATTTATCTTGACGGTCTCTTTGCCTTTAGGTACCTTTGTTGGAGAAATGGTTTAAAAGTGAGATATGCGCAACATGAGGGCTACAAGTTCTGCTACTTCTCCAGAGGGAAGCCTGGCTTTGATCCATCCATCCTGATGCTGCATGGGTTCTCACTCAGCAAGAGCATGTGGTTATTGACACTTGAAGTATGTTCACCTTGTTTGTTCTATTAGACAACCACACAGAAGTTGCTGCAAAAGAATAACTCTGATATGTTAGTGGGCAGGAACAGATAAACCTCAGCAGCCAGCCAGCTCTACTTTCCTCCCACAAGTAATATTTCCCCACTATTTTAAGGGACCTTCTTCCATGGCTGACATATATTTTACTATAGCCTCAGCATACAAGCATGTTTCTAGTTCTCATGGCCTTCTGTAAAGAAGACTATTTGATTCTGTAAGCCATCGGTTCTCTGGATTCCAGTGGAATGGAAACATGCCCGCAACTGTTAAATTTCACAAATTGCAATTGCACGACTGTTTAGCATCAAGCAAAACACAGAAACATTATTATTACATCATCATCATCATCATCATCATCATCATTATTATTATTATTATTACATACCCTGCCTTTTTGCTTCTTCCAAGGAGCCCAAGGCAGCTTACACAGACCTCCTCCACTCCATTTTATTCTCACAGCTGCACCACTGTGAGGTGGGTTAGGCTCAGAATGAATGGCTGGTCCAAAGTCACCCAGTGAGCTTCATGGCCAAGTGGGAACTAGAACCTGGATCTACTGCGTCCCCAGTCCAGCACTCCAACCACCACACCACATGGGCTCAATGTATCACCATCACATACACCCGAGTTTACAATAGAGGCTGTTCCCCATCCATCTCAGTGGCAAAGTGCAGCATGGTTACATCGTGGGCAAATTTCCTTCCCATCATGGAAAAATGGTTGTCTTCTCCCAGGTCGTCTTTGGCATGGTTTTATTTGGACTGTCCCAGGATGTTTTTAAAATAAAGTTTTCAATCCAGCCTAAAGTTACTTTCCCAGTGAAAACTTCCTCCCCATCCATCAGGGCATTTGGATATGAAATTTTGCAGCTGGCCGAAGAGGTGCTCATGGGCAGGCTGGAGATCAGGCACCTTATTGGGGGAGTGAAGCAGAGTCCAGGTTGCTATTCGATTTGCCAGGCTGCTTAGATGAATGAAAGCAGTCCAGCAGAGCCTGCCAGGGCCCAGGGCTCCTTGGCTCACATGGCCCGGCTGCTGAAGGGCTGCAAGGCCTCCCCTGCACATGATGAGGTGGAATGACAGTATCAGAAAGCTCAGGCTGATTGCTTTCACTTGACAGTAGAAATAAGGTAGTGCAGCCCTGCAGCTTAATGTATTCGTTTCCTCATGTTTGCAGTAAGATTTTAACTTTTCATGAATATACCATTGTACTATAAAGTGGAGGTGGGATTATGTTCCTAATTCTTAATGGTCTTCTGGATTATTACCATGTCTGGCGAGTCTTCAGCCATCTCTCTTTACCCTTCTCTTGATGTAATAACGTCGGAGGTCTCCCAATTTTGAGAGGAGCGTCTGTGTGTGCCTATGTTTAATTGAGTCAGATTTGGACACCATCACCCTGGAGCTCTTTCCTTATGCGCGGGTAAAACCACATGATTGGCAACAACGAATTGTGTTAATGAAGGTAATTGAACTGTGCCCAATGGGCACCCATCCAGACAGGAGAATGTTACAATATTTGTTAAAACTTGTAGAGAAGGAAGCATCAGAAAGCCAGCTTCAATGACCAGTGTTGCATTCAGAAGGCCTAATTCCTGGTGTTTCTCTCCCCACCCTGGCCCAAGTATTTGCCAAAGGACACGCACCTGATCTGTGTTGACCTGCCTGGACACGGGGAAACCACGTGTTTGCCTGGAGATGACTACACACCAGTTGATCAGGCTAAACGGCTACACCAGGTAAGCATGTTCTTCCGAGCAGCATTTTCCAGTTGGGTGCCTGCTGCATGTTCAAATTGTGGCATTCCTGCCATGGGGATAATGGGGACTGGAGTCCAAAGATTCCAGGGGGCACCAGGTTGGACCCCTATTTGGGCGATCAAAACCACATAGTTACAATGAATTGAAGCAGGGCAGTGAGCCATTTTGTGAACTAGGTTTGATACATCAAATGGACTCCCTATTCCACTTGGCCATGTCAAGTGGTGTCTGGTTATTCTGGCTAGCCCAGCTAGTTATTCTGGTCCCTCAGGCAGCTCTCCCCATCTCTGGCAGCAAAAGTAGAATGATAATTAGCCATTTCCTACCCTTCATAAGCCCCCAAATCCAAGACCTGAGGCAGCCTCCTCACTCTGCCTGATAGGGCTGTCCCAGCATGGGGAGGGTCCCATTGCCATGCCGCCAGTCATGCTCTGGGGGGCACCTCTGCAGCTGGGGGGCTTCCTTGGGGGATCCTCTGTAAATGTGCCCCCCAGCGGTAACATCACCTGTGATACAGAACTGCAATCCTGCAGGTTTCGGCATCACTGCCAGGGGGCTACAAGCATGGAGCAGGCTGTTGTGAGCAGTCCTTTCCCTCTTCCCTCTCATTCCAAAACTCAAGGCAATCCTTTAAAAGTGCTGTTCTTTCCTTACAGATAACAGAACAGTTTGAGCTCTCAATAGTCTTCCACCAAAGCTGAAAAGAGAAGCCCCTGCTCATGTAAAAGGCTGACTCTAAACTGGAAAGTTTTCCCAATCCCTCCCTATCCAGTAAAGCATGAGTCCTCAAACTATGGCCCAGGGCCCGGATCCGGCCCGCCACACCCATTTATCCAGCCCGCCATGCCCCTTTGGACCCGCCGCACGCCCGTGCCCACATGCGTGCCCACCTTGCCCTGTGCACAGAGAGGCAGCGGTTTGCTCACTCGGAGAAAATGGCCTCCAAGCAAGCAAGCCGCTGCCTCGTGCGCCCGCCTCACGGTGCATGCCCGCCCCCGCCTCGCCTCGCCTCGCCTCCCCTCCCCGCATTGCACGCCCCACACGTGCCGCCCCGCCCCCGCGCCGCCCCGTACGCGCTGCCGGTGCCACCCTTCTGGCCCGCGCCCAGCACCAGCAGCTTTCGACTGGCCTCTGGTGGAACAGTTTGAGGACCCCTGCAGTAAAGCCTCTGGTCCCACCCAGGGGTGTCTCTCGCTCCTTAAGGGCCAGACGGTGTGAACTGTGAAGCCCCTGCAGTGGTGCAGCTTGCTTTTCCCGATGCTTCCACACAGGCCAAGGACTGGGTCCCGTAGCCAAGCCTAGTGCCCATCCTGTGACACACAGAGATTCAATCCCCCCACACACGCAGGCGCTTCTAATGCGCCCTTTCCCTACTTGCCCTCCCGCCCCCTGAGATCGGCGGCAGAGGCCCTCCTCGCAAACCCTCTGTGAAAGACGTTAGGAGACAGAGTACCCGGAGGAGGGCCTTCTCTGTGGTGGCGCCCCAACTATGGAATGCACTCCCCAGAGAGGTCCGCCTGGCGCCGTCGTTATTTGTTTTTCGGCGCCAGGTCAAGACCTTTTCATTTCAACAATATTTTAATATGTTTTAATATTGAATGTTATTGTTGTATTTTATTAATTTGCAGCCAGTGTGGATGGTCAATTTATTCATGTTGTAAGCCATCCAGAGACGCAAGTAATTGGCCGGCATACAAATTTTATAAATACATACATACACACATGCATCCCTGCTTTGGCTGGGGCATGCACTGCTGCCCTCTCTCCTGGCAGGATGCATGCATGAGCCATCCTGGCTGTTGTGCACAAGGCAACTGTGTTGCTGCCGTTTGCTGCCACACCAGTCCCAGTTGCTCCATACAAAGCTGCCAGAGGCAGCCCACAGGGTGCCTTCATCCGCGCTTCTCGTTCCAGTTTGTTGAGTGCACTGGCCTGAGCAGAAAGCCTTTCCACCTGGTCGGCCTCTCCATGGGCGGGATGGTGGCTGGGGTTTACGCCGCTCTCTACCCGTCGGACGTCTGCGCCTTGTCCCTGCTTTGCCCAGCAGGTGAGTGCCCACCTGTTGGCTTTTATTTTGAAGTGATTCTGTGGGCTTCTAAAGAGGCCTAACCTGGAATAAAGAGGCCAGGATGCCTGGTTCAGTCTCAGGATAGGGGTGCCCAACCTTTATGGCCCCCGAGTGTGTATCCTGTACTGGATGGCAGTTGCATGTGTGTGCAAAAATGCACACACACGCAGCGCACATGCACAAACACTGTTTTGCCTAGACATGTCATGAGCCAGGATTCCTACTTTGTGCATTCAGAAGCGCCAGACCGTTTTCCTTGCCAAGCGTTCTTTATTGACCAAAAACACCAAACACCCAGAAGGAATCTCTGAGCATGCGCAGAGTGGTTTGCTGAACTCAGTCTAGGACTCGCCCCGAGGAATTCTCCCCACGAGCAGGCCTGGGCCCCAAGGAGGGGCCTTCTGAAAGCGAGCATATCCCTCTCCGTGTGCCGATCCTCTTATTGGCCACCCTCCTCTGCTGATGCCCCTTCACGGGGTCAAGAGCCAGGGCTGCCCGGTGTGTGTCTGAGAAGCTCCCCAGCTCCAGCGGTACATCCTGGTTATTCCCAGGGACTGCCTGCCCCCCAGGAGCCTGGCCTTGAGATAGGACACTTCTCTCATCTGTGTCTCAGCCAGGCCCACATCCCACCCCCTCCAGTTCTCCTTCAGCTTCCGGTTCTGGTTCCCCTGAAGCCCAGCCAGCAGCCCTTGAGAACGAGCGCCCAAATCCGCCACCTTTCTCACCCCCAACAATACACATGCTCGCACCTTCTGTATCCCTACACCCAATCCGAAGGTCTGGGGTGCAGAACATTTTTGGTCCCCGGGGCTACAGGCTGTGCCAGATGGGTGGCTGGGGGTGCATATATGTATATGCAGGCACACCAAGCCCACACACACACACACACACACACACACAATCTTCCTCTATCGCAGATGGGGACGCGTCACTGGAGTGTCCTCCCCTCTTCTCCTTTCTTCCTGTTCTCAGGTAGCATCTGCCCCCTCTCCCCCATACCATGCCACCATCTTCAGGCCATGCAGACTCTTACACACACACACACACACACACACACACACGCTTTTGCTTCTCTTAGGCATTGCAGTTGCCAATGAAATTGTTATCACTGTGCCACTAGTTGCAGTGGGGACATTGTGATCCTGCATATCTGGGGTGCCTCTCCCAACCCCCAGGGATCCTCTGCAAAATCCCTGTTTAGCAGCTCTGAAAGCACACGCCTTCTGCATGCCCACCCTGTCTTCAAGGAAAGTGGGCAGGGGCCCTGGGGCTCTGCAGGCTGCACGGCAAGTGACTGAGGGCCACCTGTGGCCCATGGAATGCAGGTTGCGTGGCCCTGCGCTAGAACACATTGTGCCTGGGACAAATAGGAAAGGTGACGGCTGTTGGGGCATTAAGATACCATTTATGCCACCTGGTTCCTAGCTTACAACATCCCTAATGGGGGATAACGATTTTGAGGGATATTGGGGTTTTGGTGGCATTAAAATTAATGAGATGAAGGCCCTCCTCAGGTATGGCAGCCTCTGAGGCAGAAGCCAGTTCTTTGCTCTGCCTTTCACTACCAGACACACGCACACACGCACGCACGCTCACGTGTGGAGGTCAGCACAAACACAGTCCCATTGTGGCTAACTCCGCTGCCTTCCTCTTTGCCTGGCAGTTCTCAGGTTACCATTATTTGGAGGTCACAATAAGATGAAAGAAGGTGAAGCTCTTCCTGGCAGACTAATCCAGTGCTGGCAAACAGACAAAGAAACAAAGGCAAACACTGCTGGGGCACAGGCAGGCCCTTGCCGCACAGGTGTGGGCAGCCCTCGGGCCTCCCCCTTCAGCCCCCCTCCCCCAGGTCTTGGCTGCTCTCAGTGTGAGCGGAACTGGTTGCATGAACTGCGTGTTCTCTCCCAATCCACAGGGGTGAGGAATCCAAAGGATAACAAGTTTATTACTCACTTGAAGGAGCTGGAGGAGAGCCACAAGCTTGTTGGCAACAACCCTCTCATTCCTCTCAACGTGCAGCAAGGAGTAGAGCTTTACAAACTCTCGGTATACCATCGCTGCAGGATATCCAAGCAGGTGAAAAGCAATGCTGCAAAGAATATGAAATTTGAAATTGCAGTATAAAACTGTAAGAAACATAGCCTCCCCTTTCTATCCTCCTCCTCCCCATCATCATCTTTACTACTATTAATAACATATGTGCATCAATGTAATTTCTGGTTTGTGTAGCACCTGTCCTTGTACAAAGTGCCTTATGCTTCTTACAAGTTTATCTTGGAAGTTGAGAATCTATTTCTCCCAAGCTGGTGTTCTCCAGATGTTTGGAAGTACCAGTATTCATAACTATTGGCTATTTTGGTTCAGGCTTATGAGAGTTGAGATTCAGAACATCTGGAGCATACCACATTGGGAAGGATGTCTTAGGAGTGACTTATTCAAAGTCATTCAGTGCGTTCTGTGGCTGACTGTAGATTTGAAGTTTGGCTTCCCACATCATTCCATCCCTTACGCCACAAGGGCAGCGAATCCGCTGTGTGTTTCCTCAGAGGTAAGTTCCTCGGAGTTTAATGGAGTTCACTCACAGGTTTGACCTTGTTCCAGCCACCTGAGGACCATCTCCTGGGCTGTGGCTTATGTCCCACATTCAGCGTGGCCGTGGAGTCATAGTGCCCAGATTGAGAATTATCCACAAACAACATTTGGGCATCTTTTGTGAGCCTTCTTCCAATTCAGTTTTGAAAGCACATGTTCTGCTTCCTGGGAAAAGAAAAGGCTATCAATGGCCGCTAGTCCCTGACTGGGTTCACATAACACAGCAACCCACCATGGGTTACTACCTACAATTGTTTGTGGTGCCATGTGAACCAGACTGGTGCCCATACAGTGGCTTGTTTAGGGGCAACAAGCTACTCCGGCAACTCCTGGCTTGTTCTTAGGGTTGCTGTACCCACAATGGGTCCAAATCCAGATGGCCAGCTGCACTGTGGGCATCAGGACTCCTCCAGAGGAGGCTGCTGGTGCAACCCTGTCCTGCTTGTGAGCTTTCCATAAGCATCTGAGGGGTCCTGGTGGGAACAGAATGCTGGATAGGCTTTTGTTTAACCCAGTATGGATCTTTCCATGGTGCGTCTGTTATCCCACAAGGTGGTCCTTGCCCAGAATCATTCAGTGGGAACCTCCCATGCTGAGCTGCCCTGGTCAGGAAGTTATACAAATCCACCCCCCCCCCCCCGGCCGCCCCATAGTGCACATGGATGGTTTGGAGAGAAAAAATTGAACTGCTTACCCACACACCATATAGAAGCACCCCATGCAACCCGGGCTGCCCCCATGCCGGCCTCCCCATCGCATGGCGCACCTACCTGCATGGAGCTGCCTCGCCGCAGGCACTCCTTATTTATTAGAGCTTTGTCCCGGCCCAGAAAGGCTCTCTCCTTGCAGCCACTTGCACTGAACAGGCGGATTTCAGGGTCAAGGCAGCATTGTGCAGGATGGTGGGGAGCTCGGGGTCCTGCTCCCGCTTCCCCTTCTCCAGGCCTCTTCTCCAGGCCCCCCTCCAGGCCCCTGCTCCCGCTTCCCCTTCTCCAGGCCCCTTCCACCACTCGTGGAAAGCCACTGACTGAGGCTCATGGCTCTTAGCCACTGGGTACTGGGTCCAGGTAAGAACACCACTGCTGCGTGCCCTGACCCTAACTGCCTCCCACTGTTTTTCCCTAGTTCCTAAAGGCATTTCTCAAACAACGGGAACAAGAGAACAAATTTTACGAAAAATGTAAGTACAGCAGCGAGAGTGGTATGGCTGGTTCAACTTTTAAGATTTGCGAACATTATGGGTTCAAGGTGCTGGGCTGCAACATATTTCAGCCCCCTTCTAACTGGAAAAGTACCAGCCATGCTTCCATGGCCAGCCTCATGCCATCCTTCCACTGCCATGTCCAAGAGACCCAGAATGCCCCCACCTGAGGGAAGGGGACCCTCATGCTGCACAGGATTGGCGCGAAGGGTCAAGGGCAGACGGGTTGCGCAGAGGTGAGGAGCAGCAGGCACATCTGCGGCCTGGAAACGAACCCGCACAGGGGTGCAGTCCTTGGGAATGGAAGGACACGTTGCTCACCCGCAGCTCAGGAGGGGCGGGGAGGAACTGAGGGGCGGAAGGCCGAGGAGAGAGCTGCGTGCAGTGCCAGGCCTTCTGCTCCCTCACACGTTCTGGGCTCTTTGCTGCATGTTGCTGGTTTGCAACAGGAGGTCAAGGACAAGCTGCCCGTCCCAACTTGATGGAAACATTCTCAGAGGTCTGCATAATTGACAAAAATATGAACAACCTGGGGATGCGGCAAGTTGTTTGGGGAGAAAAGAACATTTCGGAAATTACTAGGAAATGTGCTGTTTTCTTGATCACCAGTTGATCCTAAACTTGCTTATATTTAGAACAGGGCCCCCAGCCTTTTTGAAAAGATGGCTACATTTAGAAAGGCGTGCATGTTTGGCAAAAATGTGTCCCAGAATACTTACCTTAGGAGAAGTGCTCATGAAAATGCACAGAGAGCTTTGTTTGGGCTTTAAAAAGTCAAACTGATGTGGAAAAGGGGTACCATAAAGGGTCCTTGAGGAACTTCTATGGAGAGCCTTCTGCAGGAGCCCTCCTTGAAGGAAGTGAGGAGGGCTGTGAAAAGGAGAAGGGCCTTCTCAATGGTGGCGCCTCAGTTGTGGAATTCACTCCCCAGAGAGGTTTGCCTGGTGTCAACTCTTTTTTCTTTTCCAGTGCCAGACCAAGATTTTTATTTAACCAGTATTTTAATTGTTATTTTTAACATATATCTGATTTAATTGTATTTTAACCAAGTACTGTAAATTATGTTGCAAACCATCCAGAGATTTTCTATGGAAATCTAGATGGCACATAAATTTTAAAATAAATAACATGAGGTTGGAAAAAGCGAGGGGCTGCATGCCAGAATGCCCAAATGCATGGGTCCTCAAAACACGGCCCGCAGGCCGGATGCGGCCTGCCGTGCCCATATATCCGGCCCGCCATAGAGGTGTTGGACTCGCTGCATGCGCACAAACACGCACACCCATGCGTGTGGCAAGGCGGTGGCTTGCTCGTGTGGTGATCATTTTGGACTTGCTCGGAGAAAGCAATCTCCGCTCGCATGCAGCCCCACCCCGGCCCATGCCCCTGCACCCCCTTGGCAGCCTGCGCCCATCACCGGCACCTTTCGACTGGCCCCCCGTTGAAAAAGTTTGAGGACCCCTGCCCTAATGCGTCCCTCCATCCCTCTCTGGGCCCTTTTTTGCAGAAAGAGCAGTGTGTGTGAGTGAGAGAGGGGTGGGGAGAGGGAAGTCCTGTGCTGGGGGACTTGGTCCAGAAAAGTGGTCTGCAAAGACTTGATTGGGGCCGTGCCAGGATTGGCCAGCAGGAGGGAGGGGCGAGAAGAAAAGCAAGGGGCTCCCTTGCGTGAGAAGCCAGCTTGGGTGGCGTCTCCCTGGTACAACCTCATGGCTCTAGACTGGAGGCTGGATGTAGCAAATCTGTTTCTTGCTTGGAAAGGTTTTTCAGACTTCACCACTGAGAAGACCAGGTATAGTCTTCATGACCACATGAGCAAGATCACAGCTCCGACCCAGATCATCTGGGGGAAGAACGATCAAGTAGGTACCCTCTTTGCAGCATCATGGCAGCTCCAGGGATGGCATCAGCGAGGGGTCTTCTAAATCGGGGGAAAGCGTTGATTGCAGCGGTGGTGCTGCTGCACTGGCCAAGGGGGTGCTGGACTGAAAAGGGCGGCACGGCGCTCCCTCGCTGGGGGCGGGTTCTGTGCTCAGGACAAGCTCTGCTGTGGAGTGGAGGCCTGCGGGCGATGCCGGTGCCACGATCCAGAGGCACCGCAAGAGGGGCACAGCGAGGACTCTGGTGCACGCCTTGTTAAGCCGTCGCTTGCAGAGGCACGTGGAGGTGAGCCATCCGTGCGGCAGTTTGCAGCTAAAGACGTCTGCCACAACGGGCCACTCCAGGAGGATGGTTCCTCGCACCGCTCATCGAAAAGGCATTGTGCAGGTTTCCTGCCTTTCCCTCATTTTCTGTGTAAGAAAATAACGGAAGCGGCAGTGCCCAAACACCAGAGGCTTGCAAATGGAAGACGGTGAGGCCTGTTGCGCATCATACCAACCCATCCGACAAGGAACAGAGAGCGGATTGTTTGCTGAACAACTCACAGTGCACCCGACGGATGCTCAGGTTCCCTGTGGACTGTTCCCTGCTTCCTTCCCCCTCAGTCCTCCACTCACGCCCTAGAGAACATGGCAGCCGAGACTCCCCCCCCACCCCGCTGCAACCGCAAACCCCTGTTTGCTCACCTTGGCTTTTTTCCTTCCCCACCCAATTTTTCTGCGACATCTTCTTTTATGATCTGAGTTCACAGCCAGTAATGGGCCTCTTCAAAAGGAAACTGGAGGGGGAAGAAAGAGGGGAAAGCCATGGAGAGTGCAAGTGATCTCCGGGTTACACTGCTACCTGGGCACTGGCGGGGCAGCTGTCACTGGTGGCAGCCTCAGCAAGTGCTTTTTGCCACTGTGGCTGAACAACTTGTGGACTGCTTCCTGCAGCCCACAGTTGGGTTGGTCAGCAGGGTTCAGATGGCCTGACAACCCACCATGTGGCCGACACCCCCAGAGCAAGCCGTGCACAACCCAGAATACTTTTCCAGACTTCCCCCATTTGAAATGGCCATTCAAAATTCCAGGCATTCAGATTTATCAAGACTGCATTTGTGTGGCACAGAATGTTAGTGGGTCCATTTGGTAGATGAAAGGAACAAACCCAGAGACACGATTTAATTGGGTTATTAAATTGGGTTATTTGTTCTTAGGATTGGCAGAGGCCTGGCCATGCTGCCTGATTTTTTCCTCCTGGTCCACTTGCCCAGAGTGTTGGCCGTGGGTGCAGGGTCAGAAGCCCACCACAATGCAGGCCCCTTTCTCCACACCCCGGATGTGTCACTGCTCTGCCCTGGCCCTGGCCCTGCCCTGCGTCTCCAAGGGATCCCGCAGAGTGAGGCTGGCTGCACAGCCTGGGCTGGCAATGCAATTCCAAATCCCAGGGCTGCTGGCAACCTGCCCGCTTGAGCCCTTGCCTTCAAGCAAGCAAGCAAGCAAGCAAGCAAGCAAGCAAGCAAGCAAGCAAGCAAGCAAGCAAGCAGTGATCACGTTGGCTTGCTTTGTGATTCCGAGCAGCTCTCCCCATATCTCTCAAGCCCATCTGCTTGTGCCCTACGGAGGGTCACACTTGGCGAGGTGGGGGTGGTGGGACATGCAGCCAAACTCACTCTTGCCCTTTTGGTCTCCGTGAAGGATCTAACCATGTCCCCCCAGTGTGTGCCTTTATAGGCATCAGTGGCGGCTGGGGGGGGGGGGATCCTTTTTTCCCTGTTTCTCACCAAAGCTAAGTTCTTGCCAAGCCTGCAGTGTGGGGAGGGGAGGGGAGAGGAGAGGAGGGGAGGGGAGGGGAGGAGGTGGATGGTCCATTCCTCCCACCTTCCCTCCAGACCACCAGGCGCCCATTCCCTTGCCACTCAATTCCCCATGGGATGTGGGGAAGGGTCTTCTTTACCAAAAATCGCAGAGGCCCAGTCCCATCTAGCAGCCTCCCTCAGCAGCGAATGAAAGCAAAGCAGGGCGCACCGGCTCCTCCTTTTTGCTGTGGTGCTTCTGCTCCACGTTTGCTTGCCTTCCTCCTTGCTGGTGCCTCGTTCTCGTGTCACTTCCTCATTTCCCTCTTGCTCCTCTTCATCTTGCTGCTGGTTCATCGAGGCAGCCACAGCACTGGTCTTGTCTGATCCTCTCAGGCCTTGCTCTGTGGGCCTCTGGGGGACCAGAGTGGGGAGAGGCCCTAGGGCCCCCCCAGTCCACCTCCCCTCCATCCTGCACCCACCAATCTAGCTGGCCATCCAAACGGCTTGATGCTCTCAGGCCTTGAGGCATCCCGCTCCAGAACAAGAGCCACACCTGCTGCTTCCCTCCTTCCTCTCCGGCCACCTGGACATGCTCACGCTCACAGTCATGGGCTCCCCGGCAAGCCAGGAACTCAATCTGCAATTTTTTTTTTTTTTTGCTGAAGAATAGCTATGACTACCAACACTTACCAAACTACATATGCATGAGTCTGTTTACAAGAAAAGGTGGGTGCTTTGTCCATCTGTCTCTGTTTATACTTGCAAGGTGCTGCTTAGAATAAAGCACTGATCCAAACGTTTTCCCCCAGAAGCCTTGCATTCCACTCTGAATCCTTGCATTGCTCTTCAGCACTCTTGATGCCCTTTCTGCGGCCATTTAATGCTGGACACCAGGAATTTACATGCTGTATTTTCATTCTTTCTACTCAGATACTGGATCCATCTGGAGCGGAAATTTTAGCCAGTGGTATTCCAGATACTCAAGTGCACATGCTGGAGAAATGTGGGCACTGCATAATATTTGATTGTCCCAAGAAAACCGCAGAGCTCCTCTTGGACTTCTACAATTCAAATTGTGCCATGAAGAATAAGATCCTGGCATGAGTTAAGAATCACATAATTCTGATATTGAGCATCCAACTTGAAGAGAAGAACAATGGAGATGACATTACATATGTTACATTTCTACAGTGGTTTACTCAAAATGTAGCTGTTCCTTGCACAGGTGTTTGTGTTCAGCCTTATTTCTTGCTTTTATTACATTATACCCTGTGATGCGGGGCCACGATGGTGACTGACTATCCTCCTTGTGAGATTGATCAAAGATCTTACAGGTATAATGGACCAACAAGAAGGATGGCAATTTCATATTGATTTGCATTTTATATGAATGGGCAGTTTTATATTGACTTTGTGCTTAGAAATAAACCTGTCCATTCATGTAGAATGTATATGAACAGGGCTTTCTTGCTTTCTCTCTCTTTTTCATACTATTAATTTTTTGATCACTCTAAATAGAAGAATAAAGTGAGGAAAGAAAATTACAGTGGTACCTTGGCTCACAAACTTAATCCGTTCCACGACTCTGGTTGTGACCCAAATTGGTTGGGACCCAAGTCAAATTTCCCCATAAGGTTCAATGTAAATAAGGTTAATCCATTCTGTTACTTTTTTTTTTAAATCAGAAATGTTGAAACAAAGTGACAAAGTACTGTACCGTACAGTGCAGAATACTAACCTAGGTAGGGGGAGATTTTGTTTTGAGGGAGAATCCCCCTCCATAAGGACACTGGGGAGATCTCTTTCAGGGGTTTCCACTCTTTGTCTCCTAGCTGCAGGGTCAATTTTGGTGAAAAATCTGTCTATAGTCACTTGTTTTTTCCTGTGCTGCATAACCCTCCGGAAATGAGAGACGACGTTATTGTTCATCAGATTCGGCACTCTGTTTGTTACATTTATGTTGGGGTGGTGCTTCTCAAAGACCCTGGCATGGGCGTGCTCCTGCAGGAAAGACGGGCGCAATCTCGGCCATCTCCCCTCCCCCCCGATTGGGGAGATGGCCAGGATCGTAGTTCCGTTCGTGCAGGGAAGACGTGTGTGATCATAGATGTGCTTCTGCAGGAAAGACGGGCGCAGCACAGCACTGCCGTGATCACGCACATCTTCCCTTTATGAATGCGACTGCGATCATGGCCGTCTCCCCACTCAGGGGGGTGGGGAGATGGCTGCGAACTTGGTTGCCACCCAAAGCGGCATGACCCAAGTCAAAATTTTCATGAAATTTTTGTTCATGACCCAAGGTGTTCATAACCCAAGGCATTTGTGAGCCAAGGTACCACTGCACCATATTTTTCCGACTATAAGACGCCCCCATGTATAGGACGGCCCCCATTTTTTTACCGATCCCCAAGCGAGCAAGCTGCTGCATGCGCGCACCCGCCGCCTCCCTGCACGCATGTGCCTGTGCCAGTCTCCCCCCCCCAGCGTGCCCGCGCCTGCACCGGTCTCCCCCTGATCGCACCCATGCCCATCTCCCTCCAATCGTGCCTGCGCCTGTCTCCCCCCTGATCGCGCCCGTGCTCGCCTCCCCCTGATCGTACTTGCGCCCGCCTCCCCCCCGAGCACACCCACAATCATGCCAGTCTCCCCCCCAGCACACCTGCAGTTCTCCTCTCAGCCCCCCATGTATAAGACGCCCCTCCTTTTTTATGTAAATATTTTAAAGAAAAAGTATTGTCTTATACACAGAAAAATATGGTATTCACTGTAGAAGAGTCTCTGTTTTAAAGCCAGAACTGTAGGCACTCAGGATGGCTCTTCATGTCATCATTTTCATTTGGTACATATCAATATTCTCTCACCCCTGTCTTTTAAAAATGCTAACACTTCATGTTTGCGTTGCATCTGATGAAATCAGCCATAGTTCACAGCAGTGCATGCCAGAATGTTTTTCTTGGTTCTTGAGATGCCGCAAGACTCCTTGTTGTTCTCCTGTTTCTTGTCTTCCAAGAGGTAGCCTGCCAAAATTTCTAAGTGCTCTTCGCATCCCTTGTGTGCTCTGCAGCTGTGGTTACTCTTAAGACTATCAGGGCTTCACAGAGCAGATCAATAATGACAGACAAACAGCTCTGAAAAGTGGCTAGTCTGTACTTGTCAGTCTTGCCTTACAAAGTACTGGCACAACAGCACTTTGGATGCTTTCTGGGCAGAAAGCCAGATAAACTTGGCTAGGATCTCACATGAACTGAGTGTGTTCACCCTGCACAGGGCCGGCCCAGACCATTCTGCTGCCTGAGCAGGAGCGCCAAAAGGTGGGCATCCCTCCCCCCGCCCCGCCTACCTCCAGGTACATTTTACCTAAGGCTGGCCATGTTATTCTGGTGCATGCAGCAGAAGATCCCACCAGCAGCCCTCCCCATCGCTGGCAGTCAAGTGCAATGACAACACAATCTCTAACAATTGCCTGCCTTTTCATGACCCAAAAGGTGCAACCCCAGGCATTTGCCTCAGGGTAGGGCTGGTAACACAAGCCCGGACCAGACCCTTGGCAACGTGCATCAGTGTGGCTGGCCTGCAGAAACAGGAAATATTCCCTGAAGGCTGAACGTTGGAAAAACACTAGCATCAGGCACCTGGGAATATCTTTCATGGGATTCTATGCAGGAAACGAATGTTGTCAACTGTGCCCCAGTACTACATACTGGCATTTAATCTAAGGCGCAAGACAGCTGTTGTTGCTCCAGAGAAAACAGCATGCTTGGCTGTTTTAAAGCCAAAAACAGAAGTTTTATTTTGCTAACAGCAATGATCTAAGGAAGAAAGTGCTTTGCCCATGAAGGCACGATCGGGCAGTAAACAAGGGAGGCTGAACAATTAAAATCAAAGGCAGATGGACCCACCAATAATCGAATATTCCTTATGGCAAGGGTGGGAAATGTGCAGCCCTCCAGTGACAGCTGAACTGCAAGACCTGTAATTACTCTCCTTTGGATATATTGGTTAGGGCTTGTGGGAAGCACCGTTCAGCACCATACGGAGGGCCACTCATTCCATGCTCTAGCTCAGAGCTTTGTTGGGGAACTTCCTAGACACAGTTAAACAGAAGAATAAACTTCAAAATACAGAGCTGTTTTTTTGGACATGCACATGGTGGGCATGTCATGAGCAGAGCCAGCTGGAGCTGGGGGTCAGACTAGATGGCCCGGGAGATCCCTTCTGACCCACTCTGTTTCTATGTTTCCTCTAGCATAAAGGCCAAATTCAGTTTTGAAGGAGCCACCTTAGAGTGATCAGAGAGGCCAAAGGCAAAAAGCATTAGCTAGGTGTTCCCATAAGATAACAAAAATACCAGCATTTTGGATTTTACAGCTCTTCTGGCCTGTAACTAAGTCTTGGGAGAGGCATTTCAATCTCCAGAAATTGTAAAAAATGCAGAAAAACCCCTCTTCGGTGTGGCAGGCACGCTGATGCACGAAGAAGCGCTCCGGAAGGCTGAAAGGCCAAGCTCAGAGGCTGAAAAGCATCCACTGCGCAGTGCCAGTCACGGCGGCAGTGAATGCAACTGCTGGCGTACCCCGCTCCCTGCATTTTGTCTAGGCAGCCATTTTCTGCTGTCTGGTTTTTGGTCCAGCAAGGGGGAGAGAAGGAAGCTGAGGCACAACTCCATAGCCCCAACCTCCTCCCTGTCCTGGCATTCCACCCGCCCCGCCACAAGCCAAGTTGCAACCTCAGTGGGCACAGCCAGTGCAGTTCTTGCCACGTTGCCTGCAAGGAGCAGGGCAGGTGGGGGGGACTCCAAAAAGTGTGATGCTCCCCCAGAACGTTTTAGGAAGGGAAGCGGCATGGCATTTGCTCTCCAGTTCACCGGGCAGGGTGGAGAGAGAGAAGCCTTGCGGGTGGTGAGGGAGGTGGGAAGGCGACTGGAGCTTCTCCTCTGAGGTGCTGCTGTTTTGCCAAAGCCCCCTCCTCTTCCCCTCTGAAGCCGCTCCTTCGGGCTGCAGAACGGTATGGCAAGTTTTGCACACCGCCAGAAGGAACCACAATAGATAATATATGTGACACTTCTGAAGAAATCCTGGATCTGACAGCGGAAAGAGGGCAAGGAGAACAGTTTGGAGTGAGCATCGCATGGCATGCTGGTGAGCCGGGCATTACAGTGCTGGTGAAGACGCCGTGCGTTGGGTGCTCCCTGGACGCTGACGAAGTAAGCAGACAGTGTCCATGAAAACACGTGTTATTGAAAGCATGCTAATCTTTAAGACGCCACAGGATTCTTCGGTTTTGTTTGCCACCATCGCCCTGGAAATCACTGGGACAGATGGTGGCTCATTCCTTCAGCTTAGGAAGGGTCTTGGGATCAGATTGGGCAAAGTGCTGTGCAACAGAGAAGAAGACATGAAGAGCTGAGCTGGTATCTGTTGGCAACTCTGCAGGCCTCTTCGCAGGGGGTTAAAGAGGGGCTCTGGTTTTGCTGGTTTAGGGTGCTTCTGCTCAGCTTGTATATTTGCTAATAAACTAAACCATTTCTTAAAAGTCTCCAGTGATCTCATTTTCCAAACGAACCAAACCCCAAGTTAGCACAACCCCTTCAACCTGTCACAGCTTGTAGTCAGCGCCCACTTAGGGGTCATCAGTGCAGCTCCTTCTAAGAGCTCTTCCCAACACTCTGAGGCTGGTGGCTCCCTTGTCAGTGGGGCAGTGTATCCACTCCAGGTTTCTGTCTGAACTTTGAGGAACCTATCCACAGCACCAAACCTATTTGAGGCATGGTTCAGTGCCAGATATAGCTGCTTAAAACTCCAGGCTGAAACCTGGAGAGGACACCCCACCCCACTGATACTGGAATCTGGGGCAGAGTATGACCATCAGGACTAGTGGTCTGTGATAGCCATTTCTTCCATGAAGTTGTCTAATCTTCTTTTAAAGCTATTCGGGCTGCAGGTGGGGTTACCACAATTTGTAACACCAAATTTCACAAGTTAATGACGCATGGTGTAAAGAAGTAATACTTTTGCTCTGTCCTGAATCTTCCACCAATCATTGCGTTGTGTTACTTGACCTTTACCTTAAACTGAAGTGTCCAAACATTGCCACCTTTCTTCATATTGCTGCCCCTGGAGTATTCTGGATGCCGTGCCTGCACACTCCCCACCACCTGACACTTTTGATTCTGCACTTTAGAGTTCTCCCCTGGGTTTCTGTGCCAAGAGTCCCTGGCATCGGCCTTTCACCTGCCTGCTGGGGCCCTCTCCTGGCTTATCTTGGCATATCCTCTCCTTTACTTTTATGCTTTCTCTCTAGGCATGATCACCTGCTCTTTTGATAGGCTGGAGCGCCAAATACACAGCGAGCACTTGTTTTTCCTTTTGGTTCTGGCCTTACTAGCTCTTTGCCAGTTGGGTTGTTTGGGTGACTCGGGATAGAGAGAAGCACAGGTCTTCCCTCTCAAAACATCCCTCCTGTCACCCCTTTCATTTAAAAATGGCAAATTCAATCTTCCTGTCAAGGTTGATTGCTGCCTGGGATTGCAGTATTAAGCAAGTACGCCTCCTCAAATACATGTTTGCAGACCTGACTTTTATCATTTTGACTTAGTGAGAACTCTTCCTTCCTTTCCACTAAGCACACAACCCCAGTCTACTAATTTAACCCTTCCCCGATTCTGATATATTTTAAAACCAGAGGCTGGTGACAGTGTGCTCTCCAAAAGTTATAGACTACAGCTCAGATAATCCCTGTCAATAAATTATGCTGGTTGCACATGATGGAAGGTGTAGTCCAAAGCCAATGGAGGTTGCCTGCTCTCCATTAGCGCTCATGATGGGATGATTTGCTTAGGGCTCCTCTACTCACAGGTTTTATTGCAGCACTGCTCACCATGTTGTTGTGCAGATAACGCACAGGGCTCTCATGACATGCTCTTCTACATAATGCCGCAAACCACTTTGCCTTACTACATTTACCAGGGATGCCTGAGGAAGGTGATACGATATATCATATTTCCAATATGAATGCCATCTCCTGGGCAAATGTGCACATTAGAACACAGTTATTCCATCAGGTTTCAGAGTCCCCTTAAACCTTGTGGTGCAGTTTGCAGCTCAAAATATATCTCAAGGGACATATTTAAACTGTACATTTACAGATTAATGGCATTTAGAAATTTCTGGTTAGGATAAAATACCTTTGGGAGGAAACATTTTGAGAGAGAAGTGCATATTCTTTGGATTAAACATATACTACAGATCAGTGAGGAAACAGGAAGGCACGGGTGTACGAGTGAATGTAGATGAAAGTGACACAGACCAGGAACACAATCTAATGTTTATTCAAAAACATGTCCCATGGCATTTAATAGGGCTGGCTCCAGGTACCTTTGCATAGGACTGCAAAGACCATGTCCTGCTAAATCAGAGCAAAGGCCCATCTAGCCTCCCGTTTGGTTTACACCAGGGGTCTCAAACTCAACTTACCCGGGGGCCGCTGGAAGTAGAGTCTGGGTGAGGCTGGGCCGCATCAAGTATTCCACCACCGCAGTGGTGGTGGGCCGCTCATCCCATGGCCGGCCCGGGTGCCGCCGGCGCTTTGAAGGCCGCAGGGCCCCTCCCCTGTGCCCCACCCGGCCCGGCAACTGGCCTGCGGGCCACGAGTTTGAGACCCCCGGTTTACACTGTGGCCAACTGGATGCCTATGGAAGGCCATAAGCAGATCACGCATGCAATCACACCTTCCCACTTGCGTTTTCCAGCAACTGGTAGTGAAAGGCATACAGGCAGTCCCTGGGTTACGAACAAGGTCCATTCCTGAGAAGATGGAAATTCGTCTTTAAGTTGAAAAAGGGCGAATAGCCAGCTGCCCACCTGCCCAAACTCACCAGCACCTGCTTTTTGCAGCAAGGCAATGCCAGAGAGATTTCCCTTGCTGGATGGGCGGGGCAGGAAGGCATGCTGTGGAGGCCTCCCCCTCTCCCCTCTCACTTCTTTTATCTCTATGGTGATGCTGTGGAGGCCTCCCCCTCTCCCCTCTCACTTCTTTTATCTCTATGGTGATGCTGTGGAGGCCTCCCCCTCCCCCCTCTCACTTCTTTTATCTCTATGGTTATAACAATATCCTGTAGTTTTTTTTAATTAATAGGCTTTATGGCAATTTGTTCCTATGTCTGTAACACTGGGACTGCCTGTACTGCCTCTAGTGCCCAAGCTAAGCATGGCCTGATTACAAGCTGCTTTAGAATATGCAAAGCCGGCAATATTCCCAGCCGGGCTGGCACTGGAGAAGGCTGTGCAAAATGCAAGCATCCAGCTTCCTTATCGCTGTCCCGAGGCCCATCCCCGCTTGGAGCATGCCCCATGCTTCAGAAGCCTGCTTGTAAGACCGTCACAGTGCCATCGTCATACTTTTCACCCTGTGGCCAGTGCTGCTGAGTCCTCCCAGCTGGTTGTCTCCTTAATGAGCTTCATGACAACTTCTTGGGCTTTGCTGTAGCACAGTTTGATTTGTAGAACTCCAAGAGGAGTTTTGCTGATTTCTTGGGTCTATCAAGAGTTATGAAGTGTCCACATTTATCCAGCAATTGTACCTGAGTGCTTGGAATGGCTTTGGCTAACAGTGCTGCTCCAGAAGGATCCATTACCTAAATAATAAAGAAGGGGTGTGCTATTTTCAGGTGTCCCACTTTTTTCTTTATTGAAAAAGAGAGAGAGAGATTGAGAGGAACATGAAGGTGCCAAGAACTGGGAAGAAGAGTGCAAGAATTTTTTTTAGTGAATGTCTTTGTTAGATTGAAACGGGGGCAAAATTCCTTCTTTTTTCCTAAGGAACACATTAGGAAGCATGTAACACAATTGTATTCATGTCTACTGAGAAGTAAATCACATTGAGTTAAACAGAGGTTACTCCCAGGTACGTATGTAGAAGATTGTAGTCTTGCTGTACAATCATATACTTGTCTACACAAAAGGAAGCCCAATAAAAATGGGCTTACTTCCAGGTATGAACTGAAAGATCCCGAGGGATCAATTTAACCAACCCCGATGCCTGTAGTGTTGGACCAGAGCTGGGTGTTGGAAAAGCATACGAAAAACCATGCTGGATCAGGCCAATGGTCCAACTTCTAGAACAGCTGCCCACAGGATCCCTCAAGCTTATTTGGCTTATGAATTGGGGTGTAACTAGACATGATACATAATCAAGGTCTTCTGTGATTAAATATAAACTAATGGTAAGGGATGCCTGCCTGCACCTCCCAAAACTCAACTACCGTCTTTGGAAATGAAATGCCGCTGAAACCAAATGGCTCTTGTGGCATGAAGGCTTCTCTTGTGCTGTCGCGTTAGATCAGCCTCAACCTCACAAAAACTTGACAGTGGCTCTGCTGGATCAAGCCAAGGGTCTGGCATTTTGTTCACACAGTGGCCAGCCAATGGTCCACAGGATCCCAGGAGCAGGACATGAGCGCAACAGAAGCCGCCTTTTCATGCTCCCTGGCAAGTGATGTACATATTGCCTTCTGGAGGAAGGGCATGGCGCTCAGGACTACTGGCACTGATATCTTCCAGCTCCCATCATCCTCACTCAACATGGCCAGGCATCAGGTTGGGAAGGCGGCTTTAGATGCTAGTGTGCACGCACGCACGCGCGCGCGCGCACGCACACACACACACACACACACGCCTCTTACCTTGTCATCCTTTCCCCAGATGACCTGTATTGGAGCCCTGATCTTGTTCATGTTGTCGCGAAGGCTGTACCTTGACGTCATACTGGACAAGTCTAAAAAACCTTTTCCAATAAACGAGAAAGTGAGGGTTGTTTCTGTCATCATCTTACCACTGCACAGCTTCAGTTGTGTGTTTTCAGGTTAGGTGTGTGCTTATTTTAGGGCTGAGCAGACTGTGGTGGTGGATGAAGAAAGAACCCCCAGGTGACTGGAGGGGAAAACTGGGAGCCCAGCAGCCACGTTCAGCTAAAAATTAAGCAGCACTGCCATGCATATTGTCTTAAAACATACACACAAGAAAAACCCCCATGCAGGAAATTGTGTGTATTGCCTGCCCAAATGCATAGTCATGGTTAGAAAAAGCTGGCAGACATGTTTTCCTGTGTAGAGGGAGTTGTACTGCTAAAATATGTGTGAGGCATCTGAGAATTTTGTATGGAAAAGCTACTCAAACAGGGCTGGGGAATCCGTGGTTCTCTAGATGTTCCTGGACTTCAATTCCCATCAGCCCCAATTAGCATGGGCAGTGGTGCAGGATGGTGGGAACTGTGGTTTAACAACATTTGGAAGGCCACAGGTTCTCTTCCTCTGGGGGAGAAGATGGTTGGAGCGTGCCTGGGCTGTATCCTACCGGACATGCCAAATGCTACCTGGAAGCAGCTCGTTTATGACCCCTCTGATGTGGCCTGGGGCTGCATCCAAGCAATGCAATTACGTGGTCCGAATTCAAGGAGCTGGATGTGTCCTGGGAGGTTGAGTACCATGCAGTCACAGAAGAGCAGCTACCAAGGGGCTGGAGGTACATCTAGGGGAACAATCCACCACCCAGGGGAACAATTCTGTGCACACTTAAACAAGAAAAATGCCCGCAACTTCTACTCGTCATTTGCCTCAGCAGCCATGTGACACAGGATGCCACAGCCTGAGCGATGTTACAGAGTGATGTTATAACACGCTGAGTTTTGACTGTGGGGGTCACATTAAAGAGAGCAAGTGGCATTAATGTTTGAAAGAACTTGCTTCCTGGAACATAGTGATCTAAACAACACAAGAACAATAGAAAAGCATGTTATGCGCAGCCCATTTTCCCAGACACTGAGATGTTCCAGGGGCAGCGCTATGGTGGCTTGGCTTCGTTTTGGGGGGAATCACTACTGTGTAATGTTTGGGCTCATTGGCAAGTACTGCCAATGAGGCTCAATACAACCTGAGCCTAAGTGGAGAGAAACAGTGCAACCAGTTTTACAAGCAGTGAATTCAGTACTGGCTCTGGTTAGCTATTCAGTCTAACGTGGGCTTCCTTCTGTGAAGAGGCCCAGGCAGCTTCTAGTCTTGCTATGACTGCACTTACATTTTAAGAAAAAAGATTTATGTGGTCTCCGATCTTCAAGATATCCCTTTAGGATCTAAGTTGGGAAAATGAAAAAGAGGTTGTTTTCAGAAGAAGTACAAGGCAGTTCCACTTCTCTCACGCAGCAGTGACACCAGCATTCTTTTCTGCAGGCAGTGAGTGGCGTTATATCAAAATCTTTTGTACAGGATGACCTCCCTGATACATTTACTAATCAGCTATATATGGAAGACCAGCTAAAGAATTTTATGTTAAATGGAAAGCCTATTATATATCCTTTAATTAGCAGTTGAGAATGTTGCGATTAAGTATTAGGTATACAATGATCAAATTAATATAATTGCTCTATGAATTTAACTTTTTAATTATGATACTGTTTCATCTGGAAAAAAGAGGGAAAATCACTTATTAGTTGCTGGTGGGTTTGTGGCTATGCTATAAGGTTAATTATTATCTACTGGATACCCATGTTAAAGCCTTTTTTCTTGTGTAATAATAACCAAGTATTGTTAAGTCAAAATTATAGTCATAATTATTGACTTTTGTGCAATTTCCTACACTTAGTGCTACACATAATTTTTGTGTAAGGTCCCTTGGTATCTTTTTCTTTATTTTCATGTAACTTTTTCTTTGTTTTTTTTCCCTTTTATCTATAATCATAACCATATCTTCCACACACCTGGGGCACGATTTTATAAACATGGGGTTAACTGCACCCAGTGGTGCCTTTCCATCAACAGACTGCACTTTCTTCTGTGCAGTTCCGTGAGCTGCCCCTCGACCCCCAATTTGCTCCGGAGCATCAGAGAACACTTCCGAGTAGATCTGGGGCATGTGGATGAGAAGGAGAGTGTGGAGAAGTCCCATTGTACAAGCAGAAGTACCAGTATGCAAAATGGCTTCTGCTCACCTGAGCACTGGACCGGACAAGCATTGGATCAAACCCCACTCTTAAGTACAGGCATGTGTTGGTTGTGATGGACCTCATCCCCTTCCTTACAACTAGCCAACTAAATGGGGCAGGCATGGGTACAGATCACCACTAGGCCGGGGGTGGGAGGCAAGGTCAAGATGTGAAGAGACGGGGGATGTTAGCCATGTTAGAAGAATTTACTGATCCAAGAAAGGTGCCAGAGTTAAAGTTAGCTCAGACTGCACGCTGGTGCTGCCCAACCGCCAGCTGTGTGAAACCAACACAAGCCACCTGCAATTCAGCGTTTCCGCTTAGAATGGGATTCTGCCATTGTGTCTGCGGAAGTCTGTTCATGTTGCAGGTTGTGGGGCCAGAGCTAGCTCCTCAGTGGTGAAGGAATGGCATTGAGGGAGTCCTCAGCTTGACAGCAGCTTGGCCACAGGCGAACAAGGCGTGGGCTACGACCCATGACCGTCTGTTGGCTGTCTAAGTCTATCAAGTTCCATTCATTTCAGTGGGTCTGCTCTGAAAAGGGCTGTTACTGGATACAACCTCTTGCTCAGAAGCTGACTTTGCTGACGTGTTTTGAATGGAGAGGCAGGGCCAGCACATCCACATCACGAACGCTTTTAGGCGAGAAGCACCGCTGGACTGAGAAGATGCCTGACTTCCACTTTCCACAGGCTGTCATTCAAATGGTCTGAAGAGCCTTGGAAGGCAAGTGCACTCGGTCTGGGAACAGCAGCCTGTTAGGGCTTCTCTACATGAAGCATTTATCCCATGGCTTCACTGAGGGCTTCTCACTTGTACTCTGTGAAGCATCTTGCACACTGATGGTGCAAACAGATGAGTAAATTATGATCCCCATCAGTTCCTAAGGTCTAAAGAGACTGCAGTTCCTGGAGGGACAGGATTTGGAAGCTCTCTCCTGTATCCAGAAGCAGCTTCCCCAAATGCAGTCTATTAACTAACCCTCCCCCTCAGACTTCAGCCTACTCCTCTCCTATCATCAGCAAGCAGCTCTGGCAAGGTGGGCGCAAAGAGGTGTGAGTCATGACTGGGCCAGAACACTACAATTCTCAGAAAGCCGCTGTTTCACCTGAACGTTTATCTTGGTGGGATGGTATAAGCCAAGCTTCAGCAAATCTTCTCCCTGCTTTGCACTCAAAAGGACAAATGGATTTTCATGTGAATTGGCAGAGTCCCGCAGCTTCCTCAAATACTTGATGAACTCGTTTTCAGGTGGGTACAGCAGGCCTAAAAGAGTTTGGAGAGAATGTGCAGCCTAAGCATGCTAGTGATGGCAAGCCAATGCTCCCAGTGCCTGATGGGATTCAGATCAGCTCCCACAGAGTATGTTTGCTGCCAGGGCCATGCTGTTCCCGCTGGTGAGGAAGCCACACATGTGCTGGTGGGAGGCAAAGCCACCTCACCTCCAGAGGTTTCTGGATGGCATGGACTGTAACTACCCTCTTCAGGTGGACTGTAAGCACCCTCTTCCCAGGTTGAAATCATATATGAGGAGAGAAGGGCCATAGCTGCACCCCTCTCCGTTGTCACATCTGTTGCCCTGTATGTGCAGAGAGGGAGAGACTCTGAACAGGAAAGACTTCTGCATCTCTGGAGGCCCTGCCCTGGAAAGTCAGGGTCGCCAAGTGTGTGGAGGTGTTCCCCAGACGGAGGACAGCTGCAGATGGATTTCAGTCGAGCTTCATACCTGGTTACAGACAGGGACTGCTTTGGTCACATAGGTCGGCCATCTGTGTGAGGAGCTGGACAGGGGTTTCACTGGCCCTTTGGCATCCTTCTGGGCTGCCTGACTGGGGCTGGATTTGGCGGCACCCTTTAGGGTTCCTCCATTCCTCGCAGCGGTGACTTTCAGAATGGGATGCTGGAGGGCTCCTCTTTGGTGCCATGGCCTGTGCTGGCCTGTCGTGCCCATCAGGGTTATCTCTTATCCCCCTGATATTTACCATAGGTATGAGACGACGGGAACAGATTGCCTGTAGATTCGAGGGTTGGGGCCATCAGCTGGACACCCAGCTTGATCTCTCCTTTCCATCTGAATCAGAGGAAACTGTTCTAGGTCTGAACTGGAGGACTCCTTGAGGGCAACAAACTGAAGCTTAATCAAGACAGGGCAGAGGTAGTCCTGCTTGGTCCAAAGGCAGGAAAGGGACTCAGCCTGTGCCGGGTAGGATTACGTTATCCCTGAAGATTCAGTTTCATAACTTGGGTGTACTCCTGGAATTCCAGATTTCAGCAACGGCCGGAAGAGCGCTTGCTGTTGGGATTGTGCCCTCAGACTACGTGGAAGACCACTTTCTCCCAGTTGACCCTTCCTGAGTTAATGTCCTCAGGAGAGGCCCTTTTCCAGCCCCACCACTGTCAGAGCACCCTTGATGGGATCATGGGAGGACTTTGAAGCTCTCAGCCAAGGAAGACCAGGGCGGCCAGCTCCAGCTCCAGCTCCCTTAACCTTCCGCCAGGAGGCAAAGGCATTTGTCATTCAAGCAGACTTTTGACATCTATGCTATGCTGATGGATGTTCATTTTTTTAGCCAGCTTTTTTGTCTTTTTTATTTCTATTGGAGGCTTTTTCTTTCCAGTGATGAATTTTAATATTTAAAGGACAACTGTATCCTTTTTTTCTGGATTTTACTCCGAGTGTCCTTGAAGGTGGAGAGATGTTAAGTGGAGATCTTAAGTTAATGTTAAGATCTTAAGTGGAGAGATGAAGCAGAAACGGTATACATAAACAGGTAAATGTACACATCTGGTACCCTACTGGGCCAAAGAAGGGGAAAAGATGAAGGAGACCACAGTTTGCTGGCTGAGGAAGAAACTGGAAGATGTAGAGTTGGAGCCTGTGGTTCAAATGCCAAGAATCGGCCACCTGCCACCTTTAATTCACATCTTCACAGTGGCTTAGGCCTCACCCGCCCTTGTCCTGCCTATCTCAGACATGCTGCTTCTGCTCCGTGACCTGGGGCCTAGACCAGACATCCAGGTCCCTTGAAATCACTTCCTTTGGACACTCACCGGGGGGACACAGGAGGGACAAGGCGCAGACGTCCGATGGGTAGAGGGCGGCATAAACCCCAGCCACCATCCCGCCCGTGGAGATGCCGACCAGGTGGAAAGGCTTTCTGCTCAGGCCAGTGCGCTCAACAAACTGGAACAAGCAGCAAGGATAAAGAGACGTGTTGCATATCACAAGATTAAGGAGTGGTTAGAAGCATTTTCCAAGAAAGCCACGGGTCTCATTTATGGAAATATCTTGCTATCTGTAAGGAAACACCTTGAGGCAGCTAGCAATCGAAAAAACAAGGACAGGTGCTTCTAGGTGAGGCTTTTATTGCTGTGCCTGGTTCACAGAAATTTAGGTTTGTGAGTCCAGATGATGACGTCTCCTACTTGTGGCTCTCCAGGGTTTTCCTATCTTTTTCCTCAACAGAGGAAATACGTTAAGGAGAAAATCATGGAACAGCTGCCTGGTGCCATCTGGCACTGGAGCTAAGAGTCCTCCGTTGGGAGGCAGCCACAATAGTTTAAAATGACAACATCATGAAATCCATACAGTCAATGAACTCCAGGGCAACCATCAAGCCACGTCTGGGAAACCTCTTCTGCAGTAGCACTGAGCAGCGTCTGGAATAGGAGGGCCTTTGCTTGCCAGTGCTATTAAAAAGGCCCACAGTGATATTCGTCACGCTCTGGGGGCATTATGTGATGGGCAGGAAAGGGCCTCCTTGCTCCACCGCGCCTCCGCTCAGGAAGCCCCAGGCAGAGTGGTGCTGATGGAAGCCTCCTCACTGCCCCCCGGGGACGACCCCCAAAGCAGCCGCTCCTGCTCAGTGCTGGATGCCACTCACTGAGTCAGGGCAAGAGGGAAGGGGGGAGGCCGCCTCCTTCCTCCCTTTGCCCCTCTCTCCTTGTCGTTTTCTGCACTCTTCTGCTCCTCTCCCACATGATGTTTGCCTAGTAGATTATTTATTGTTCTCACGAGCTAAAAGGCTTTGAGCATTCAATCAGCCAAACTGATGGGATCTCTCCCTGTGCATGAGGTGGTCAAGTCATCATATGCTGCACCAGTGAGTGATCAGAAAGAGCGATGACCCACTTTCCCCAGCTTAGACAATCATCATGGCCACAATACTTCATTGATCAATGAACGTTTGGACAAAAAGGAGGAGGTGGGAAAATGTGAGGCATTCTTACCAGCCTGGAGGAACTCACACGGCAGCCTCCCCGGGGCAATACAGCCAAGCCCAGTTAGAGAAAGGCCTTACCTGGTGTATCATTTTAGCCTGATCGGCGGCTGTGTAAGTTTCTGCCAGCAGGCGAGTGGTTTCTCCATGGCCGGGCATGTCGAGGCACACCAGGTGGATGCCCCGAGGAAAGTGCTGTGGGAAGATGGCACAGGTGAACCCGAACTCCTGTGGATGCTTCGTTGTCCAAACAATTCTGCCTAGCTCTGCCTAAATTCCTGTTTGCAAAGAAACCTTTGCTTCAACAATTGTCCTAGCATGGGTCTAGCTAGGAGCCATGCTTAATGAGCCGCATGGCAATAAACTGCTCCTTGCAGGAGGCAATTTTGCTTTCAACCGAGGCTTTTTTCTGAAGGAAAATTGCTCACGGGGCACTAGATCACTGAATTTCGGTGGCAAAATCAGCAGTGCATGATGCTGTCAGGGATATATGGCAGAGGTCCTATATGAAAAGCACATGTACGGCTTGGAGGCCGGGCTGGTTGGTCTAGAGTTGGGGTGCAGAACCTCTGTGGGTCCTGCCACCCCAACCCTGGAAGACTTTCCACAAGTTTATTATTTTATTTATTATTTTATTAAAACATTTCTATGCCACCCCTTGCCGAAGCCTCAGGGCGGCTTACAACGCAATAAAATACAATAAAATACAAAAATAACAATATAAAATTAACAATATAAAATAAATAACAATATAAAAGCAGTCACCCTGGCCAGATAAATAAGCAAATATTGTTAACAATTAAAATGACGTTTAAATAAAAAGGTCTTCACCTGGCGCCGAAAAACAAATAACGACGGCGCCAGGTGGACCTCTCTGGGGAGCGCATTCCATAGATTGGGCGCCACCGCAGAGAAAGCCCTCCTCCGAGTACCTACCCTCCTAATTTCTTTCAGGGAGGGTTCCCGGAGAAGAGCCTCTCCCGCAGATCTCAAGGGGCGGGCAGGCATATATGGATGTAAGCGCTCCTTCAGGTAACCAGGACCCAAGCCGTTTAGGGCTTTATATGTCATCACCAACACCTTGAATTGGGCCCAGACTTCAATGGGAAGCCAGTGAAGCTGACGGAGGACTGGAGTCATGTGAACACAACGCCCAGTCCCCGTCAGCAGCCTGGCAGCTCTATTCTGAACCAATTGAAGTATCCGGACCGTCTTCAAGGGCAGCCCCACGTAGAGTGCGTTACAGAAGTTGTGTCCCTCGAGGCCGTGAGGGATTCAGGCAGGAGGCAAGGCGGGAGGGAAATGCTTCACAATGCAGCTGTGCTGAAAGATTCCCAGAGGCAGGAGAGAGAGGCGTCTGTGATCGAGCACAAGTGTGCTCCTGCCTCCCCCACCTGGAGGGGGAATCCAGAATACTGGGGAATGGATACGTGCAGTGGACACGGAAGGTTAGCTGAAGGGTGGACGGGCAAAAAGGAACGGGATGTATGTGGCGCAGAATCGGGGGAGAGTGGCTAGAGCTCTGAAAAGAAGCACAACCCTGCGATATTTCATTGTAGGGTCTCACTTGCAGTATACTTATTGTCAAACTAAGCACTAAGCTGAATGCCGGAGCTGAAGGTGTAGCGTTTGAAAGGGAGCAATCTGGGCTATTTAAGGTTACTTCCAGGGACATCAGAGCTTCCTGCTGTGTGCTTTTAGCACTCTGCTTCTAAGGAAGACCCGCTGAAACATACCAGGAGCTATGCAATGCTGCTGCTGTTGTGCTTTTATTTTTTGTTATTGTTATCATTTCTCTCTGGCCTCAACATGTCTTGGTTTGCTAGCAGTGTTGCCTGAATGCAAAAATCGAAACCTACTTTGATGGTGTTTAACCACATGTCTTTGTTGAAAGAGAATCCATGAAGCATCAGGACAGATGGCTGGGTTCCAGGCTCCCCTCGGGAGAGATAACAGAAGCTGTAGCCCTCACGCTCAGCGTATTTCACCTTCACACCCCTGAGCTGGCGCTTGTACCTAAAATCATGAAGAGAAGGAACATAAATGGCGAAGTGATTCTGCACAGGAAGCACTTTCAATAAAAGTCTGAGCAGTCAAGTCTCTGCAGATGTTGCTGCTCACACTGAAGCCACCTATCTGTAATGGAGGAATACCTCACCCCTGCCCTGAAACCATTTATGAAGGGAGTTGGGTACTGGTGAGACCAGTGTAGCTTGCAGAAGTTTATGGAGCAGAGAATAAATTGTAGATATGGCTGGAGAGGAACAAAAGTCTGGCCACTCAAAGTGAGATACACAAGCACTTGGACCCAAATCCTCCTGGTCCTCAAAGTCAGAGGATCTCAGAGATCTAGTCCCATGACACTACCTACTCCCTGGCTCCTTGATCTGCTGAACAACTTCAGTTTGGGAAATACATTACTGGAGACCTCACCGTGCTGCCCTGCTCTGCCTTGTCTTCATTCCTCTGCTTGCTTTGTCACCTGAGCCTCCTGGTTGGTTCTCTGGCCTGCCTTTCCACCCCAGGTGATTGCTCTGCTGCCAGACTTCAGATCTGATCCTGGTCCTTGAATGCCCAAGCCCTGTTGCCCCACTGTTACATTTACCCCTCCGTGATGGCAAAAGGAGCAGTGATTTTGCAAGGAAAGAAGGCGCACAGAAGCCACAGCCTGTTTTGGTTACCACGGTGGTAGCAGCAGTGGGAGAGGTGGGTCCTGTGGATTCTCTCAGGGGCAAAGCAGGCTCCTGACCCCAGATGTTGCTTACGCCTGCTCTTAGGCGTCAGGGCCACCTACGTGGAGGTCATTTGTGGTCTCCCATCCACGTGGCATCCAGAGCCAAATGTGCTTGTGGACAGATTTCTGTGCTCCATCTTCCCAAGTTCTGATCTTGCCACAGATGCTCTTTTGTGGTCCAGATGCTGCCCGGCTGGGCAAGGTAGGGAAGTGGTGCTGTCGGAGTTGGACTCTGGGGCATAAGCCAATCTGAAGAGCCCCGCTGGGTCAGGCCCAGGGTCCACCGAGTCCAGCCTTCTCCTCACACCATGACCAGCCAGCTGCTCACCAGCTTCCGCAAGAGCAGCACCCTCCACCCATGTTCCCCAGCAGCTGATGTACACAGGCACAGTTCCTCTGACTGATACCGGAGATGTCAAGGACCTCACTTAGCAGAATGAGCGGGAAATTCCGCAAGCACAGCACACATTTTGAAATGCAGTCATATATGGTACCATCTACAGAGCTTCTTCCCGGAAGGTCCAGTCTGCCTTCTGCAGTGATCTGACCGCAGCACTGCAAGTATCTTCCCCCACGAACACTCACCATATCATGAACCTCAGCAGTAGTGAAGACCAGGGCGGGTGCCGCCTGTCGAAGAGGCTGGAAAGCATGCCCAGGACCCTCCACAGCACCTTCGTGACGGGGACAGCCATGCCTGCTGCGGGTTCTCCTCTTGGGCCTGCACAAGCAGACGGTCAGACAAGGGCACAGCCAGGCACTGCGAGGAAGAAAATCAGAGGGTGGGAACATGCAAGAAAGGTGGCAGACAACCACTGAAATGCTCTCTGTGGCTAGAGCTGTCCCCCAAAAGGAGGTGGGGTCATCACTGCCAGGACTATGCTACTCTTACAAAATTGGCCGGATGGTAATATGCTGAAATCGAGCTGTTCTTATGCCCCGTGTGGCTCGAATTGGAGAGCAGGTAGGAAAATGATCAGTGAATGATCACAGTATTTTATGTGTAAAGTAAGCATGGGAAATTAGCCTCATGGCTTTTGGTCTTGTGGGTTCTCTCCATATGGGAAGGCTTTATATGCAGAAAAGTAGGAAAATTGAGAGCAAGGGCAGCAGGCATGAGGGGAACTGAGGTCATCTAGTCCAACCCCCTGCTTGGTGCAGGATCTGATCTGCAAGATGTGAGCTGGCTGCCCAGCCTCTGCTTACATACCTTGAACAAAGGCAAACCCGCCACTTCCTGAGCAAGTTGCTCTGCTAATGACTCACTTTGTTGTCTTTCTTAGTACTTAACCAAATCTGCTTCCCGCAGTTTCCACCCATTGTTCCTGTCCTACCCTCTGGTGCAACGGAGAACATGTCTTTCCATCTTCTGCATTCATGTGCATCCAGCTTTTATGCTTTCCCTTAATCTTCTCTTCTCCAGCCTAAACATAGCTCTTTTTGAAGTAGGACCCCAGCCCAGTAGTAAATTACTACTAGTATTACTGCTACTGATGATGATGATGATGATGATAATATCATTTCTATACTGCCCCACAGCTGAAGCTATCCATAAAAACAAAAGATAGAAATACAATAAAATATCAGAAAAATCAGGAAAAAAGCACTGAAAAGTTTTAAACAGCTAAAAACATCCTCAAGGCAGACAAAGCAAGGAATGACAAAACAGTGACTCTGTGAAATTCCCCACAAGATCCTGAGCTGTTCAGGAAGCCTTTGAAAGCTTCAGAAAAGAGGGCTAGCTTTACCTGGTGCTGAACAGGTGGCAGATTGGGCACAAGGTGGGTTGCAGTGGGGAGGTTATTCCATAGCGGGGGGGGGCACTACTGAGAAAGCCCCCCCTCTTGTTGGCACCTTCCACATTTCCCTGGGAGTGAAGCACATACTTTGAATGCCAAAGGCCCAGGTTGACTCCTGGCAAGTCCAGTCAGGGCCATGATAGATCCAGAAACCCTGGAGAGCTGCTGCCTGTCGGCATGGACAAAGCCAGGGAGGCAGCCCCGGTGGACCGGCTCAGGATAGGTTCACATCCTTTGTAACTGTTCATCCCTGGACTCGATTCCAGACTGCTGCCACCCTGGCCGCCCTCCTCTGTACACGCTCCAGTTTTTCTACACCCTTGTTAAATGCGGAACTGGACACGGTAATGCATTTTAACCGAGATCTCTCCAAGGACCTTGAGTCACATCCCCTCCTCCGGGGACAGGAACTGAAGCTCATCCAAGCCACACAAGGAGCAGACACCTGAGTGATGTCTTGTAAAGATCCTGAGGCCACGTGCCATATTTGATGGGCTCCCTGCCACATTTGAGCAGCCTCCTCCTATGCCACCACTTGCACTCTGGAGAGGGCTCCAAAGGCCTCTTTTCCAGAGACCCGCTTCATTCTAGGCAGCTGGAAGGGTGTGGGGGTGTTAACCACCAAGGCAGGCCCCAGTTTGGGAACGCTTCATGCTTTCAGCGGGAAGCCTTGCCAAGCCAGCTGAAAAGGGGCATTCCGGAAACCCTCTGGACCCAGGGTGCCAACCATTCTGACAGAAGTGATCACCCTCCAGAAAAGTCTAGATAATGCTGTGATCCCCATCCTCATATACACCCAGCCTTTCTTGCAGGGAGCCTCTCCATTTTAGCCTCAAACAGCAGCCCTGTGAGGTAGGTTAGGTGAGAGTCTGTGACTAGCCCAAAGGCACCGAGTGAGCTTCAGAATCCAGTCCCTCTGAGTCCCCATTCAGCACTCTGACCACTACACTACACTGTCACTGATGTGGACACCTCTCAATTGAAGAGAAGAATCCCTGATGCACAGTTCTACTGAATCTATTTGGCCAGATATAGCCCAAAACAGCCCGTCGTGATGATGGTGACTCTGGCGTGCTGAGCTGCACCTGCCCAGGGCACCTTGAAATAACTGCATGTTGAAACCCAACTTAAAAGGAGTCTGGAATTAAAGAGGCAAGATAGGCAAAGGAGGTGGGTGCTCTCTTGCACGAGAGCTGAGACATGAAGAGGTGGACATCAGATAAAGCGCCCATGCCTGGGACAGTCTTGAATGGGTTGGCCATGGGTGGAAGAGCACATACCTGACTGAGAGCATTCGCACACCCTTCGCTTTTAATAATTATAGGCTGGGGCAGATTGCATATTGGTATTAGCTCAGTCGAAAGGCTAGTTCAGAGCTTTACACTCAGTTTGATTCAGAACTCTGTTCGTAACATTCGAAACCAAGTTCTCATTCTGTTGTCTCTTCTAACTGGCACACTCTCTTTATTTCTTTATTCGTCTATATGCTTTAATTCTGATTGCTTATTTGATTGCCTGCTTCTAAAAAGAGTGTTCAGTGAAATACTTTTGGATTCAAAAGAACCCATTGGCTTGAAATACTGTTTTCTTCATCATACATCACTCTTCCACACACACAGTCCAAATTCACAACAACTCTTAGGTATCTTAGGTGAGGGAAGATATGTTGGTATGACATTGGCAAGCCATTCTGGGTTGCTGCCCACAGAGGACTGTTATGCCATGTGAAGCTGGACCATGTTCCTGGGACACTTGTGCCTGGACAACAAGCCACCTCAAGAACCAAAGGCTTGCTCTAGGACTTGTTTTACCCACGATGGGTTATTGTGTCATTCAGACCCAGATGACTAATGCCAGTGTGGGCAGAAGTAATCAGCTAGCAAAGTCCCGTGACAAATCAGCACGATACTTTTGGTCCTCTTGCCATGAGGCTCCCAGGTGAGTGCCAGGGAGCACCTCGAAAATCCCTGGCTGGCACTTGGAGGCGGCTGGCACCCGCTTCCCCCATTCCCTGCCAAGATCACGAGGCTTGCTGCAGCTTCAGAAGGGCACTCGCCTTCCGTGAAGAAGGTCCCAAGTTCAATCCCTGGTTCTCTGGGTAGGGCTAAGAAATATTCTCGCCTGAAACACTGGAGAGCCACTTCCAGTCAGTACTGACAACACTGAGCTAGATGGCCCAGTGGGCTGACTCGCTGCAAGGCAGCTTCTTGTGTTGTGAGGCTGGCAAGCCAGTTTTCCTCTGGCTGCTTTAACAGCTATGAACAGTCCCTTCGAAGTGCCCAGCAGCCCCTTGAATCGGCTGCCCATGATGGTCTAGCCTTTAAAATGTGTAAACATTAGAGTTATTGTTATTATAAAAATTCTGGCCACAGTTCCATGACTCTGTGGGGCAGCAGATGCCGACCCTAAATATTGGCAGGATAGGCTCCAAATATATTCCTCACCTTTGGTTTTTCTGACAGTTGTCAAAACACAAGCTGTGAAGACACACCAATGGTGAAGTAATCTTTAGATGCAAAAAATATAGATATGAAGGATTTAAACCCACTTCACAGCAAGATCTTCAAGAATATGTCTGTATATGTCCTAGTCCAAAGCAGCCAGTTCCCACTCAAACGTGGGACACACAGATTTTTGACAGCCAGCCAACTCTTGAAAGAAACATGGGCTGGGGACTCCACATTTGCGACTTCCCAAGCACCAAGAGGCTATGAATGAAGTGCAAAATGTCTGTCCTGGTGGGAAATAAAGGGTGGGAGGGAATTTGAGAATCTTGCAGGGAGAGGGGTTTAAATCCCCCCTCCACTTTTCCCGGCTAAAGATCGTTTGTTATTCTTCTCCTGACAGCTCACCTTTGCCTGCATTCAAGAAAAATTAAGGTGAGGAATGTATGCGGGGCATCTCTAAGGCAATTTCTAGTGTCGGTTTCTGCCGCCCTCTGCAGCAGTCACTTCCTCTGTAGGTTCCTCCAGCTGAGGATTCAAATGCCACAGTTGCACAACTGCAGCTAGAAATTAAAAAAAGAAAAATAGAACACAATTCTTTGTACAAGCAAAAGCAAAAGCGGTGGAATGACCCCTTTCAAGGTCCTTCTGGGGCACTTTGAAGGGACTGCTTGTTGCCAACATGAGGATCCGGAGGGCTGGCCCAACAGCTGCCTTCCCCAGTCTTTGGGGGCAGAGGAGGGATAAATGGCATAAAAGCTGCCGTGAGTCTGAAATGGCTCAAGATTGCAGTGGTGGGGGGGGGGGCATCATTCCCGCGACGACGTGTCCCTCAGCACACCTGCAGGAGCACCAAGGAGGGAGAAGGAGGCTGACAGCCCACAGTGAGCCCACAGCTGGTTCATTGCCAGGGTGGGTCAGCATAATATACAGATGTGCCCTGTGCTTTTTATTGCTGTGTTCATGGTTTATAACAAAAGCAACGTTCAAAAATGCAAATGGCAAACCTCTACCTGTTTATAGTGGAGGAACATTTTAGTTTTTATTAACAACAAACTTAAGTCCACCACAAGTGAGTCTATTTCCTTGCTGTCTTTCTGATCACTCAGAATCTCTTCTAGGACAAGCAAAATTATCTGATAAAAGAATCCCTCATCCTGTTCATGCCATCCATTCTCCTTTTTTTTAGGAGACTGCAGCGTATTCTTTTCATTTAGCAAATTCAGTAAATGGCCACTTTGTTCCATTAAGGTGTTGATGTCTACTTAGCCTCTTTGTAGCTAAACATGTTTAGTGATGATCTCCATTAATGGAAAGTCTCAAATTTTCTGTTTCCATCATTAAGAGAAAGTTCATTTGCAGATTTCCAGTTAGCAGCTATGAGCAGCCAGGCTGCCGTCCAGAAAAAAGTCAGGAGCACTTTATATCTTAGAGCCCATGTGAAGAGAGCAT